AAACACATGAAAAGGCACGATTTTTTTTAAATTCGAAAAAATGTAAATATTTCAAAAACGGTGACACTTTTACCTGAAAATTTTTTGTTTATCAGTGAGCTCACCTGCCCACCTACCTTCCCCTAAAGTTTGGCACGTTACTTCTGGGACACCCTGTATATATAAATATTTTTTTATATGAGAGTTGAAGTCGGTTTTTTTTTTGCTAAATATTACTAGTTATTATATTCATTGAACTAAATATTCGCTCTACTTCTGCATTACTTATAGGCAAAACAAGAAAACTAAAAACTAGGTTGGAAAGGTCAGCAAAAGGGTTTTCTCCTAGGGCATTTAGAAATTGATAAACTTTGGCCCAAAATTTTACAGTTGAGTCTAAATTACTCCAGGTATGTAACGTTAACCGTTGCCATTGCATCTCTATGGATGTTATTTCGTCGGCATTATATTTGTGTTTTTGTTGCTTTGTGTTTGGTTTAATTACTCTTAATGCATTTCCAACCGAAAAAAGTCAATTTTGTTTAGTGTGGCAATATTTGTAGGGAGGCGTTGGCGTAATTCCTTTATTAAAGTGATAATAAAATAGCGACCATTTTCTCGAATTATTTTCTCGGCTTCGTGGTCAAAAGCGTTTGTGCTTACTTTTGTTTTTAAATACTCTTCAAAACTGTGATAAAACTGTGGAAATGGAGCAAGGTATGGTTCCAACGGGGAGCATATAGGATCAAAGGTGTCCGCGCTAATAACCACTAGGGAGCATAGATGCGAAAGTAAAACATTGAGTTCATTAAAAATCTTCATTGGGTCTGCATTATTGCTTTCGAACAACTTGTTTACTTTTTGCACCTGAAAATTAGGCAAATAGTAAAATCGGCTAAAAACGGCTAACTTTTTTTTACAAACCGGCTAACAAATCGGCTGCCGGCTAGATCGAATTTTCTCCGGCTAGTTGCTATCATAACCGGCTAAATCTAGCCGGAAAACGGCTAAAATGGCAACGCTGGTTACTGATCTTGCCTTTTGTTGCTGTAACAGCATACAAATTCTAAAGAGCTTTTCTTGGGAAACAGCTAATGTGACAAATCATGACCAGGGTCGTTCCGGTAACGTAAACCTCTTCGTGCGTCAGCTGGGGAGCATTGACATAGTCGCTTTAAAGGAAATCACTTCATATTCATCAGTACCCGTTTACTCTATGTGAATGTGGAAGGGGTCTCACTGATAAAAGGAACTCTGCTGGGTGCCCAACACAAAGCGACTCGATGATAAGGCAGAACATTCCCAAGACAGCTGGTTCTATGCACCGGAATGATCCCGTTTAGTACGGCGACGCCATAAATCGTTTTTGGGCTATGGAGCAACATCTTGCAGAAGGATTGCTCCATATCCTTCTTCTCAGGGCGGGTATTGGACCGCAAAGGTTGTGGCTCCGTAATGCTTAAGCCATACGGCATCATCCGCCTACACGGCCACCAACCCGCGTACTATCGCGGGAGCACTTCAGCTCCCTAAGGGCCCGCTCAGTTCCAAGCAGCTCACATCAGCAACAACTAAACTCCCCACGAAGCAGACCACTCAACACCGACTTTGCTCCCGCGGACCACCAAACCTATATCAACTTCAAAAGAGCTCATTGCAACTGCTTCGCTAGCACCTTTGCCGCCCTTTCTACAGGCACAAACGTACACGCTGGTGAACGTCATATCCGCAAGGTTATTACTGCTTGCTTCGCATCGCTGAAGTCCGCCCAAACTTTCCGGCAAAAGCGGCTGTTCTCGCAAATGAGCATAACCACCAACGCAACTGCAAGATTCGGCAACTTGTAAATAAACACGGAAAAGGCAAGACTCAAACGGTGATCAGTGAATTATATGAGTGGTCGGCTGTCGTCAGTAACCTTCCGAGAGCAGACTTCAAACCAAATGAGAATTAAGCAAGGGGTACAACAGGGTGGTGTCCTCTCCTCGTTATTGTTTAACTTCAATATCTCGAAGCTTCCTCAACCACCTGTGGGAGTTTCCCTGATCGCATGCCGACTGTTCGATCTTGGCGTCCGAAAATGAAATTGCTGAACTCTGCTCGAAAGTAAATGTTTACCTCTCCGAACTTATTCGCTTCATCACTGCTTAACCCACTCCCCGAAGAAGTCAACGGCGACGCTCTTCACCACTTGGACGAAGGAGGTCAAGCTTCAACTAGGCATTCACGTCGATGGCACACCAACTCCGTTATTGAACCACCAGAAAATCTTAGTAACACCCTTGGACAGCCTGCTCTCCTTCTCGCACACGTCCCCAATTGTTGATTGGGTACAGATCCGCAACAACGTTTTCAAGTCCCTAGCCGGGATCACCTGGAGCAAAGACAAAGAACGTTGGCAACATTCAAGGCATTTGGCCGACCGGTTCTAAACTATGCAGCACCCGTGTGGTCGCCTGGGGTTTTCATGACGCAGTGCACGAAGCTACATAACTACTAAAACGCGTCACACCCTCCACCTAGGCACGTCAAAGGGCATCTTTTCGAATGTAAGGATGCGGTCCAGACCTACATAAACCAACCACTGGACCCTACGATGTACAGAAAAGTGATCAACGGCATTCGTAGTGTCCGTCAACATTTTTACGACACTCGATCAATGAAGGACGTAATAGGAGTCCAATCTGCACCTGATCCAGACACAGAGCTTCGACTGCCACATCACTATGGCCCATTTAAGTTCTAGATACTGTAGCCGTCTCAACAGCTACTTATCCAGACTCGACCCCGATATTCCTAATGAGTGTCCTGCATGTGGAGATTCCCTACATGACACCAACCATCTCTTCACATGCCAACTCAAGCTAACACCTCTGGTCAAACACCCTCGAAACGGCTCATTTCCTGGACCTACTATTATTTGAGCTTGACGACGATTGATGTACAAACCGACTTAGACGAAACTTAGTAATTCCGCAGCAATAACACCAACAACAACGTTCGGCGTAGGAACATCGGATTTGGTATCAAAGGTGTTAGGTATCCATGGCACTGGTTATGGTGCGGGGCACCGAGGGAACCGGCTGTAGTGCAGTTTCAAGAAGGCAAACGTTTGCGATGACTTCGGCGGTAGTTATTGAAAAGATGAAGTGAAGGTGAGCCACTATTGAGGTTCAAGGGTTTGCGAGGCCGAATCTTTCTGTCGAAGAGAGGAATTTGGTGGCGAAAAGATCGATACTTCGCTGATAAAAATACAAACCGGCCGATGTCGGTTTATATCTTGCACCTGATACATGAAGTTATAAAACAACATTCTTTTTTATAGCTGCTGTCCTTCGACAGACAATTAGGGTTCTGACATAAAAAACGATTCTTATCTGCTGTTCGGCGCCGAGAAAGACCTGAAGGCACACACCATGAAAAAACGCACAAATACGTAAATAATACTCTAATAGGTTTGAAGCGAGTGTAATTATTTAAAAAGTTCTGACTTGTTCTGATAATTAAACGATGTAACATAGCCGCGATTTTCAAATTATATTTCAAAATTCATATGGAAGGACTGCTTAATTGAATTGTAACCTTTAAGAGACATCAGTAACCTCACATAGAGCCCTCTGCGTAATTTATACTAAAAGTTAGACGCTTCCATATATACGTCAATTTATAGATACATTCGATAAGCTTTTTTGTGCCTTTTACATTCTTTTCTTGTTTCAAAAATGCGTTATAATACTTAAAAACATTAAATTATGTATATTTAAGAAAAAGCTTGTATAAAAGTTGAAAATTTAAGAAAAACTTTCAATTACAATTAGAAGAAGCCTATTTTGTATTTGTTTTATTTTCATATTTGAGATTCATTTATGTAATAAATTTTAAAACAGCATTATAGCATAAGTGGTATCAGCGGGTTTTTATAAACAACTAAAATTTGTGTCTTGGTTTTTACTGTTAGATCCCATCTTTTCTCCACAATATTTTTATGAACACGCTTAAGGATGAATTTATTTTGAAAATCTTTCTATAACGCGTAATTCTTTTTTTTATAAATATTGAAATGATTCTTAATAAACAATTTGTTCTTCCGCAGTTTTAAAAGTAATACAAAACAAAATATGGAAAGTAAAAGTCTCTTCTTTATGATTCAATATGGAAGTACCGAGGTTCACTTCATCTGGCTTAAAATAAATATGTATGTAAAAGAAATTCGCAAAAATATGTCTAACTATAGTAGCTGTTGTCAGAAAAAATATAGAAAAGTATTTATATATATATTCGTATACATATGGGATGTTCCACGTCAACCGGAACAAGGCTCAGTCCAAATCTCACCTTGATGGATTTTAATGATCATTTCTCTTTCACATCGCATTACAGAGTAGCACCCCTGGACTCAAAATGTTCGCTACTGATCGCCCTTTGTGGGAAAATGTAAACTTTTCGGCGGGTGGAAACCTGAGAAAAATAGAGATCTTGAATTAACACACCTGTTAAATAAAAAATTGACTACCGATTTATCTCTTTTTGTTCTAAAATTTTCGGTAATGGACGTTCCCAAAAAACTGATATGATAGGTTGGCTATATTCAACATGTTTAACTTTTATGAAACTTGGAATATAGGAGTCTTTCGGGTCGCTGTTTGCGAATCTGTAAACATATATTTTTTTTTAATGGCGGATCCCATATGGCGGGCATATTTTTAAAAATTGTTTGATTCTTGTAACGTTTTGGACATGCATCTTTTAAAAGTTCTAAATGGCGGATCCAATATAACGGTTCGATTTTCGCGACATTTTTATAAATTCGTAATCAGTGAATCCCCTAAATGAAAAATGTCAGGAAAACCAAAATTTTTTTCGAAAAGTTGTCCGCCTTATTGGATCTGCAATTTTGAATTAAAAAAAATATTATAGGTTCTTAATCAGAGACCTCCTCCATGTTGAATTTAGCCAACCTATCTGACCAGTTTGGAACGTCAATTACCAAAAATTTTAGCGCAAAACCAGATGATTCGGTCTTGAATTTTTCGTTTAACAGGTGTTTTAATTCAAGAACTCGATTTTTCTCAGGCTTCCCGCTGTCATGTTGAGCCGACATTTTGAAGATTTCCAAAAGATCATATTGACCCATCAAGGACGATCAATAACAAAAATTTTAAGCCCACGATCATTAAAATAAATTAACGTGAATTCTGGGAAGAGCCCTGTTTCGCTTGACGTGGAACGTCCCATATACATATTTATAAACAATTTCTAGTCCATTTTGACTGATTGTATTTTTTCGCATCTTATATGAATATGCTTACTTGTTTTGTTCACTACCATTCACACAAGCAGGTGAGTTGCTTTTACTACTGTTGGTCGGTTGGTTATCCCCACCTGCTATGACAGTTGCTGGTTTGTTATCAGCTGACGTCGTTGATTTAGCACCGCAGCTTATGTTGGTAGCGGTAGTATTATCAGTACAACTTCCTTCCTCGCCATGATGACTGGCAGAGCTTTCAGCTACTGCAGATTCTACACAACTGTTGCTGTCTACTTGTGTACTTTCCTTTGATAGCAGATTAATTTTACTTCTATCTCCACTGCCACCTGTACTATTACTGTTACTACTTAACGCCATGCGCTGCATTTGTCGAATAACGGTTGCGGCATAATATGCTTGCTACAATGAACATAAAAAAAGCAACGATATGTAATGGAATTAATAAGTATAATACACAAAATAAATATACAGCACTTTCCAAAGCAAATAAAACCTGAATTATTAAATTTTTTTGCGAAGTCCAATAACACATAGTAATGGTCTTTTTTATTATCGACGAAATAACACCCTTCCATAGAGAGAGCCGTGAACCGCGAACCGCTAACAATCTCTCTAAATTTAAATATTTTATGACTTTCTTTCTATCGGTGCAATATTGTATTTCGAATAGCAGATTTTTTCCACAATTTTTCGTAATGTACGGAGGTCGGCTCCAGTAACCGATTTTGTATGAGGTCTCGAACCTGCGCACAGCGTGTCGTGTAGAATAAGCTAGGTGTACAAAATTATTTACGGATCGTTTTGGGATATATTCAAGATGCTGATTTCCGATATACTATCCATTTTTCAGATTGGTTCTTGTGTGCGAATTATTGCGAATATTGCAACATTATGTATTTTCCATCACCATGAGAAAAATGTACTTACTAAAACGAGTATGGAAGCTTCGAACTCGCACAAACGGGAGATACATAAGAGTGGTAAACGCCTACTGCGTAAAAGTCTAAATCGAACGCCATTATATAATTACTAGGTACTCTTTGATCTATAGCAACAAGTCTGGCCTTTATTAATTAATAGTTAATGAATTAATTAATTTGGTAAAAGCTCCGCAGCTATAGAACAAGATTTATTTATTTATTTATTTAATACGTTTTTAGCCTACGAAACAAAAATTTCTTACAGACTATTTAACACTAATTCTTAAGGTAAGGCATAGAATTTAAAATATTCTTAAAAACTGATTTAGGAAATAAATCTAGTTCGATAGAATTTGAGATCTGATTAAATTCATTAATAGCACGCTCAATAGGCGAGTTACGGACATAATTTGTTCTGCAGCATATAAAGGCAAGGAAAAACGCAGGTTCCTCCGCGGAATGTTAAAATTAATTTTTCCCAAGAGCGCCGGACAATCAATTACTCTCTCTAATCTCGCTCTAATCTATCTATATGGAATTGATGGAAAGGACGCCAGATGATTGCAGGCGACATATAATAGTTTTAAAGTGTATGGATCGGAGAATTCGGTGCTGCTCCGCCGCACAAAATCAAGCTTAGCAAACAATTTGGAAATAATAAAATTAATATGAGCGTTGAACAAAAATTTAGAATCAAAGGTGACACCAAGATCCTTAATTTCTTGAACCGACTGGAGGGTACCATTTGAAATACGGTTGGTTCTTGTGTGCGAATTATTGCGAATTTTGCAACATTATGTATTTTCCATCACCATGAGAAAAATTTAGTAATTAAAACGAGTATGGAAGCTTCGAACTCGCGCAAATGGGAGAGACATAAGTGTGGTAAACGCCTACTGCGTAAAAGTGTAAATCGAATGGCATTATATAATTACTTGGTTGGTTTTGTGCGGCGGAGCAGCACCGAATTCTTCGAGCGAGATTAGAGCGAGTAATTGATTGTCCGGCGCTCTTGGGAAAAATTCATTTTAATATTCCGCGGAGGATTAGAGATAAGAGCCAAAAGGTCTTTCTCAAATTTGCTTTACGTTCATTGCATTTCGCTGATCCTCTGTCGTTTATTACTGTTAAACTTAAAAGCACTAGATAAAAAAAGATCTATCCTCTCATTAACTTTCGTTTTTTGCATAATACAAGGTGTAATTGATTGTCCGGCGCTCTTGGGAAAACAGCGTTTTCTAGAAGGTGGCATGAAAACATTTTTTCACATTAAGGGATAGGCGAGTTCTTAAGCACCACAAATATACATCATCAAGTTCATATTGAAGTTTTGTTATATCAGTTGTGTTCTTAACAATTGAAAAACCCTTCAGATCGTCAGCACATGGGTAAATCTTCGGAGCCGTGTGTTTTTGAGGTGAGTAACACCTTCATATTAATTTTATTAATGTAATTTTACTTTTCATAAAAAACTTGGGCCATTTTGATAACAAATGTGACGAGTACTTGTAACTTATTTAATTTCTTTTATTTTATTAAAGTCATTTTAATTTTTATAAACAATCAAAGTAATTAAAATAACAATTTTGACGTGTCACTTTCAATATTACAATTCAATTCAATTTTCCAATATTACATTTACTATTTGCCATGATTTTTGAATGTCTCCGTTTTGCGCTGAAAAAGTTATACACAAAAAACGCACAAACGGTACCCAAAGTGACACGTCAACCGTTTGTGCGTTTTTTGATTAATGCATTTTAGGTGTTGAGAAAAAGATGTGCTGCTCATTGGAAATAAATGGTAACAATTTGAAATCATTCACTCGTAATTATCAAAAAGGTAATATCTTAAGTTCTTTTTCATTTTGCACTTTCAGCGATTACTAAATTGTTCTCATTTGTTTATATACATATTAATTACACATTAAGGAATAAATTAAGACCTTTTGCAGCTGTGGGCCTTTCAAAATATTGAAAATATAACAAATGTTGTCTAAATAGGTCTGAATGGCAACAAATTTCTATTTTTTTTGACAGCACACTGACAGACTTAAACATAAAAGGTTGGAATTAAAAGTGATCGTTAGACAACATTCTTCATAAAGTTCGTTGAAAATGCTAAATATATAAAATAACTTTTGTCTAAAATACGGCCATGAATATATGTGTGTGTATGTAAAGGATTTTCAGATCTTTGGCCAGTGCGGTTAACGTATTTTTAAATATATACTAAAAAATTATATCTTCAATGGATCTTAAGCAAAAATTAATTTTCCGTTAATTTTTTTGGAAACCGGGCGTGGCCCGCCCCCTTATGTCAAATATTTGTATCTCGAAAACCACTTCATCAATCTATACCAAATTTGATTTACACATTGCGCCTGACCTTCTCAAATACTTTCTTGAACATTTTTGAAATCCCAACTGTATTCTGCGAATAAACTATAGTCTTGAAAAAATACATAGTTTGTAACTGAAGGCGATTTTATCAATGGAATATATAGAGGCAAATTCGTAAAAGTCAAACTTAAGAACCAGAGGAACATGATGCATATCAGGAGACGAGACTGGGGATAAACACTCAGTCACACTAAAGTTAATAGTATCACTGACAAAATTAGATCCAAGATTCTATCGAGCTTATTTTTGAAGTTATTAACTTGAAGTAGATTCAAACTTAAAGTATACCAATAAAATATGATTCAAACCTAGAACAAACATTAGTAGGAGTAAGACCGGAGTTGCAATAACTATGAGACCAATTAAGATTACAGAGATTAAAATCACCTAGTAATCAAATATGATTTTCGCCTAACTTATTAATAGTTAGTGATATAATGTCAAAGATATTTGTTAAAGATAAGATGACAAATTCTGATGCATCTCTATTTGTTTTCAACTAAAATTTTTCTACAAAGTTTTATGTAATTTTCAAACATAAGCGAAAGAAAGCATAAATGCGTTCTAGAGACTTACATATGCTCTCTCGGCGAAGCTGAGTACATAAGTGTCCAAATTCAAAGTCTTTCCAAGGATAGCAGGATATAAAATTCAGCATTGCTCGTTACTCATCTCCCACAAGAGCATACGATCCTCTGGAACATCTTTCCGAATCCGTTTAAGTATATTTTTAAGTTATTTATACATAGCGATTTTCGACAAGTTATACATACTAGTATTCGCTCAGAGGTTGAAATTCAACCTCTAAAATTAAGGGGAGTTGAGGTGGGCTGAGCTGAGCCGAGTTGATTTTAATTGATTTAGTTGAAGTCAATTGAGCTGAAATGCGTTGAATAACATAACAGAGTATAACATACACAAAACAATACAACACATTACAAAACAACACAACAAAATACAGTACAAAACAATACATCAAAACGAAACACAATACAACACATCACGACTCAATACAAAACAATACAACATATATCGTCGCTACCATGCCAAACTATCGAATGTACGAGAATGCTTTTTCAATTACGATACCTTGCGAATGCACTTAGATTGATACGCAAATTGGCAAATCGTCAAATTTCGAGTCTTCTTAGAAGCAGAGGATAAGTGCTCGAATCCCGCACTTGAAAACCTCCAAAAAAATAGTTCGGTTCGGTTCAAAAACCACTAAAAAAGTTTGTAAGTTTTGTAATACACAACTTTATCTAAAAATGAAACGTTATGGTAAAACTGCAAACATTTTTGAGTTTAATGGCATCTCCGTGGGTTATATTTCGTCCATATAAAAAATGTCAAACTTGCACTTATCGTATTACATACATTAAAGTTGAATGAGCTATAAAACTGCATCCTCAGATTTTGTTTAGTTGTGATTAAAAAGTTTTAAACTATAATGACATTTTTTTGAAGTTTGTAGATTTTTTCTAATTTTCGTACAAAGTTTGAAATTTGGATTTGTATGGTTGTTGTTATATAACGATCCTATACTTTTATTATAAAACAATGAACATTAAACCAACAAAAGAAAAAGAGTCAAATATCACAAATATATTATTTTGACCATAGGTATACCTGTACATATGAGGTTAAGGCCTAGTATAAGCTCCAACCTACCAAAAATGAGGGTTTCAACATTAACCCATTTGCGCTCTCTGTACTATATAAACGACACCAATTCAACCCACGTTTAAAAGTATACTATTATTATTAAAACGAAATTGCTTTAATAAGTTTGCTCCTACTGGTATTAATTTCACTTCAGATAGAATAAAAGATAAATAGGTCTAACTGGGGATACCGGATTTGGACAATTACAAATCGACTTTTCACATTAGAAGTGGTCCACATGAAAAGCTGGGATGTTTTCTTGAATTATTGCAAATTGCTTTAAAATATCCGATATTATAAAGTGGAAAGAGAGTAAATTAAACAAAACGTTATGCCTTGTCAAGTAATGGGCCGTATGAATAAAAACCAAGCAATTGCTTTTTCTTAAAATTTCATACCTTTTACTTCAATT